CCACCACTATTTTTATGCAACTTCTCTCCAGTATCCTCGATACCACACGTTTCTTTCCTCAAAGATCCTCCAAATAAAAGAAAAGAGACAAGTAGCAGTGTCACCCGGAGAAGCTTGAAAAACACAATTAAGCAAGAAAAAAAAAAAATAAGACAAATGACAGTTGAACTTTTGACAAAATAGAGAAAAAAAGAAAACTTTCTATTTGCCAGCTGTCAGATTATAATATTATCCCTCTTAATTTCTCCCAACAGTTTTTGCACTGTCTTTCTCTCTTTCTCTCTTTCTTACAGCCTCCCTCTAGTTACTCCTTAACAGTTTTCATTAAACGTTACGGCGCTACGATCTTCTCTCTCTCTCTCTCTCTCTCTCTCTCTCTCTCTCTCTCGTTCCCTCCCTCTTACTCTCTTATCAAAGTCTGTCTATATTGTCGCGCCCAACAATAACAGCAGTGTCAATATAATAATATATATGTATATATCCTTGTTGCAGCTAATGGCAAGGGAGCAACACGTCGGACGTGCTTCAAACAGGCGTTTTCACTCGCGGCTCGCGTGCAATTGCACAAGTGGATGTTGTACGCAATTTGTTAGGAAGCCAAGCGCGCACGGGGCCGCCCGAGAGACTGAGCCAGGCGAAGCTGTCTGTAGCAGCGAAGCAAAAGCTAGTCGCGAGGTCCCCACTTCCTCCACGCGGGTCTCCGCTTCTGTGTTTTGGCTCCTGCCAGTGAAGAGGATCTTCACGCCCTCGCCAACGTCTTCCGCGCCACTCCTATTCCTTCCTCGTGCTTCTTGGCTCTCACACGGCTACGCAGAGGAGGACTGGCCTCGCGAGGCGTCGACGGGAACCTTCTTCTGGTACCGACGGATAATACTTGATCAGCCTCGGATGTTACCACTTTTTTGGCAACCCAGCACGAACCACCTGACGTCAACCCTTTCCTCGATACTTGTCAACCAGTTCTTTGCGCGAATTGACGAATTATTCTTTCAAGTCCTGAGCTTGCTCTCGGTATCTTCTCTTACTCTTCTCTTTCTCATTGCTTTACATCGATGATTTTATTGGTGCTTTTTTCATGCATTTTTTTGGATACTTTTCTTCTTAATACGATTACTCGTTGAGGCGTTACAGTCGGAGTCACATGTGTGACGTATTAATTTTTACACGGATTTTTTTTACATTGTTTACGTTTCTTTTGACAAACGTCAAAAGATAACAAATGCTATTCCTAACAGTCACGTGATGTCTCAATTTTTTGACGGAATCTCGTTACCACTGCGAATCTTGTTTTATATGAAATTTAAAAAATTCTTAAAGTCACACTCACTCCGTCATCTCCAATGCATTGCTTCTAATCTTCTTATTTTATTTACTCCGCAGATTTGCATACAAAAACGATCAATAAACGCCGTTGGAGATGGATAAGGAAAAAAGAAAACAAGACTGGATGATAGAAAAATTTGTTCCAGAATAATGGGAACGGTGCAATCAATGATTGTCTTAAAGCGCGTCTTTCGAGGGCGGGAAAATTCAAAAGTTTTTCCCAAGACAGTTACAGTGTCACCCTTGCTCTCGGTAAATGAAATTTGATTTATTTTTGAAATTGGACTCGGAAATAATAAAAGTCACTGTTCTCTCTCTCTCTTTCTTTTTCTAGTCCCGTACTGGAATCGTAGTTTACAGGATTGGCGTTCGTCTAGTCCAAGTAGAAATGTAATAGGTGGATGCACCACGGGTTCACCTCTCTTTTATACCGTCGACGACAAAGTGGTACCGCCCCCTGGCGCGTGAGGATCGCCTCGGCACCGGACCTACGGGGATGATGCTATATCTACTGTTGCCTACTCTCGGCAACACACCCCTTCGTCTACCCCCACCACCACTTCTAATACCCTTCCTTGCACCGAGATGCATTTCACCGACGCAATCAGAATATGCCGGCTACACGTTCTGTCCCTCCTAGAAGCATGAGCCCATGTACATATATAAGCAAGCATAAAAAAAATATGATCTACCCCCTAGACACAGGATACAAAAACAAATTTACATCGTTAGATGAAAACGTATCTTAGTCTCTAATTTACTTTTAAAAAGCTGCTATTTTTATATTTTTATAAATTTTCATATCAATGTATTTATTATACATACGTGTACTATAATGTAATCGGCCATTTCCGTCGGCACTTCGTGCTTCCTCGTGCCGTGTAATCCAAGTCGGTCCAATGCTTTACCGACAACTTGTTGGTTCTTGGTTCACGATTAGTGTGCGCTTGTAGGTGTTAAGTGCTCCGGGTAGTAGGAATAGTAGTAGTGGTATTAGTAGCAGCAGCAGCAGCAGCAGCAGTAGTAGTAATGATACTAGTATCTGTTGTCAACAGATACTCGTCGATCGATTATACTTAAAAACATTATTTTGGAATTTTTAGGGAATTGATTTTTTTTCTCTTCACTGTAACTATTGACCTTAATTAACTTTGCGTAATAGCATCTACGTAATTATATTTGCTCATATGGACTTGTATGGCTGTATACTGTTTACGTATTGCTAAATATATTTATGGACAGTCATTTAAAATCTGCAGTATCACGTAGGATTAACGCGCTTGTATGTATTAAGTGATTGATAATCGTAACTGTTTTACCGACGGAGGAATACGAGAATATTAACGTTTCCTGCGACGTTAACGCCCATTTGTTACCTGTATACGCTATGTTATACCTATATACATTGTTATTTAATTTAAATTTGAGAAATGAAATTATTGCACACGGTGATAAGGAGCGGACAGTCGTTGTCAATGCATTTGCGGAACAACTAGTATAATCCAAGGTTTATCATGCAGTAAAGGTCACGCATTTGCGAGATGCGTCATCGTCGTCGATCTTTAATGGGACGCGCTCTACCGACGTCCCGGCATCGCGACGCCTTGAAGCTAAACGATCGTCTTTCTTTTTTTTTTTGTCGCGTAGATTTCATACGTGCGATTTCACAAGTAGATCAATGCCGATTTGCGTGTAGGTGCCTTTAAGAATAGAAAATCGGGGCCGCGGGGGGGCGGAAGAAAAATAGTCAAGACAACAACCCACGTTAATCTACAGTAAATCGTATTCGACAGGACAATTTATCGATCGCGTAGTCCTGACACAGATACAGATGTCACAGGAAGCCATTTGCAACTTGTTACTAATTAGGATAATTTGTCAATTTTTAAATTCGAACATCTTTAAAGATGTATTTACATTCCTTATTTTTTTTAAAATACGGCTTACTGGCAAGAGAGGAAAATAATATATGTGAATTCTTGTACGGTATCCTTATACGATTTATGAATATTGAATATTAATGCAATTGAACTTGACTCGGGAAATTATAAATTGCAGATATAGTCGTCTGCAAGTCGGTGGAATAATTCTGGAATTGTCATATAAGATGGCGCTGACGTATACTTCGATCCACGAAGTGGCTGAGGATTCTAAAGAAAAAGTCAGACGGAGCAGAGTCAAACCTAGAGAGATCATCCGATCACAACTGACCTTGAGCTGGTTGCACGAGCAGCGAGGAATATTTAGGTATATACATATGTATACTCGACTACAGTTATATCATGTCAATATATACATAGATCTGGATTCACATGAGTTTCAAATCATCTTAACGTGACTATTGTTTAGCAAGGCAGTATACACTATATTGGATTCAACTATTTTTAGGTCGCCACCTGCTGCAATCCTGTCAAAACACTCCTCGAGCAGATGCACCGTGACCAAGAAGTTGCGGCGAGGCGGATGACGCGTGCACACCAGTAGGCGCAAGAAGTGGACGGAGGAGAAGGAGGCGGAGCCCGAAAGATTTTGTATGATCGAGAAAGAAAATTTGGAGAAAAAAAATGGTAAATCGTATTGCACGCTTTATTAAGCTTGACGGATATGACGTCATCTGTCGAATGATCTCCTTTTGTCGACTCCTTTTGTCAGTCGCTAACCGACACCCTGGATGGGTTAGGTTAAGCTAGGTACGTACAAACGCCTTCCTCGACTAACCAGTGTAAATGGGATTCAGCATTGTAAAGCGCATTTCCTTTCCGGTGAACTCCATTGAGCTTCGATGACAGACGGTCTATCAATCACCAGGTTGGTCTCCCGGAACGTAAAGCACGTCGCACGCGGATCAAATTTAAAAAGCAGGATCCGACCGTGTAATAACTCAAAGGCTTTTAAACGTAAGGTGTTAGCTCTGACGGAAAGGTAAAGGATATTATCGTTGTGGGTTATTATTTTTCTAGTAATTATCTGTCTTATTATTTATTGACAGGATATGATCCTGGAGGACACGCGACAATTTTTCCTGCAGAATAAGGTGTCCAGGACGTCAGATGCGTGCAGGTACAGGTACAAAGACCTTTTATGATGGAGCAAGAAGAGTGCGATTATAGTGAAGGATAAATGGGGCCCAGGTTAAGGGCCTTAACAGGTAACGAGTAGATGCAACATTGAGGTCTATAGTCCCAAGTGAATCTAGTCTGTATATGGTCGGGCTTCCAGTGTATTCCTGCCGTGCGTCCAGTCAATGGACATGATTCACTGCTGCCGGGTATGCAGTTCGACCCAGGAGGCGAGGAGTCAGCAATGCCAGAACCGACTGACTGGTAGACAGAGAGTCAAACGAATGGATGGATGGATGGAGTGAAAAGGATTGAACCGAGGAGAAGGTACGAGTGAACGTGGTATCGTAGATGGCGCAGTAAGAGCGAGAGATAAAAAAATTAAGTGTTCCTTCCTTTCAGACGCAATCTCGCCTTCAATTGCCCGTCCGCGGAACGGCAAGAACGCTAAAACCCATTGGACTTGTATAAAAGGGGACACGGATTCCGTCGACTAGACTTCAATGGAACAGACGTTGAATCATCGCGGTGCGTTTACGCGACCGCACTTAGTGCCCCATGACGCCGCAGTCGCTACCACTAAGACTTCAACTACCAGCCGGTACCAGGAGTAACTAGCGTCGGTGTCTGTAATGTTAACGTCGTCACCAATGGCGTTACACGTGTTCTTTTCCTGAAACCGATCACCAAGGATCACCGGTATTTTACGAAATCGTCGTCCTTTGTACATCTTGAATTGCCCTTCGCAAAGTGGAAGACAAGATACAAAAGGATATTGAGGGGAAGTTGGTTCTTCATGTTCATGATAGTTTTGGTCTTACGATTAGAATATTTTTTAGTGTGAATTAAGAGCTAGGGTGAGCCCATGGGATACAAGGTCCCCTTATGGTTTACTACTTCCTGTCTGAAGTCAATCTTCTTATTTGTAGTCTTGTGTTAGTCGATAAAATACGAGTTGAAAATATCTGTTACATTTAAGTATATGATTATACGCTGTATTTGAGGTTAGGTTAGGTTAGATATTCATGTTTTATCTCTAGTTTCATGTAGGACTCACTCGGAACAAGGATAATTAATAGGTCCATTATATTCAGACGATGCGAAACGGTTCCTCGTCTCAGAGGAAGGTGGAGTTTGGTTAGGTAGGTTAAGGTGAGGTTAGGTCAGGGTAACGTCACAGGTGTCTTTCTAGGCTGTTGTAATACGTAGATACCCCGTCGCAAGGACAAGAAAGAGGTCTGGGGTGAGGTCGCCATTGTCTTTCGATACAGGGAGCCTCTTGGTTTCTTCGTGAATGGAAGAGGGAGCCACGTGCAGAAATTCGGATGGGCAGGACTCGGCTGGGCCACTTTGGGCCCTGCTGACGTTTTTGTCGCAATCAGGCCCATTTGAGCACATTGATCGCATTAGGTTATACGGGCCGCCGTACGGAATACTAAGCAATCCTGCACCACCACTTCTTTCTTTATCTCCTCCTTGATTTACCGCACCGTTCCTGCTGCACCCTATGCGTTCCAGACATATTATGGGTTGTACGATACTCCTTTAAATGACCAAAAACATTTTATTACTGAATCCTCGCGCATAGTCGATTCACTTTGACTACTCTTGTCATTCCATGAACTTTACGGCAGGTCGAATATCGTTTTTATAGTCAAATGCGTTTCTCATAGAGCCATCGAATATTGGAAATAATTATTTATAAGAAAAATTGTAAAGAAATTTCACGAATTTTTATTCTACTCATTTATACATACTCACCCTTCACAGAAAATCTCCGACGAGCTGGTACTACCTCGTACTTCCGGTTCCATCTTGCAGGTAGCGTCAGCGTAGCTTGTACTGTTTCCCGGTTACCAGATCGACGTCGCGGCGGATGCCGACGACTCACGAAGCAAAACAGTGATCTTCGGCGTTGGTATCAGCCGCTCCATTCATGCAGCGTCGGGAGTCTGATCACTTAATATGGTAGCCTGCCGCCAATCTCCTTGTGGTAAAAACTTGCGGACGGATGGACGGAGGGACAACCAGACGTACGTAGTACCGATTTAGGCAATCGTACGAAGATGGCAGATAAGGAGCGGACCAACTGGATCGTACAGCAGCCCCGTGCTCGAAGTTGGTAATACATCTGGCAAAGCAATTAAATCGGACGTCGAACGTTAAAAAGAAATTAGTAATCACCACTAGGTGCAACTTCATACAATCCATGTTGAATTTGCAATTTACACAGTCGGTAATTATTTGCCGACACTTTTGGCAAGATGGCCTACCATTGTTTTATCTCGGTTGAAAAGCTTCAATGGAATTCATTGGTTTTACAAAGCGTGCTGATAGTCAACTAAAAGAAGATAATGAATTATTCAGTGGAGTATGACGAGAAATAATGATGGAAATATCCTTTCGTGGATCATCGAGCACCCTAACGACTTTGAGTTTGAGGTTACGTAGCTTTCGTTACCAATTGAACGTCACACTGTGACAGCCAATGAGAATGCCCACCCATACTTCGTCTCTTCTAGCCGTAGACTCTTCATCATTGAAGAAGCCAACACCTTCGGTAAATCCGCCGCGGGAGTAGGAGCGGAGCAGATTATTGTAGAGCAACGAGAGATGAGAACTCGGACGAGAAGAATCTAGGCTCTCACGGTTTTGGTCCGCAGTGGGCGGAAGTGGCGGAGCACTGTGAGCCGGAAGCAGTCACTAAGAACGGCTGGCTGGCCGGCCAACCGCTCACGGTCTAGCATAACCTAGACTTTATTGCTTTTACTATAACCAGCAGGGCCGCACGATACGTTTCTTCTCCTAGTTATTCTCGCGCTTCGGTTCGTAGATATTATGTATAACTTGGTAAAAATTTCATATACTTCCGGTACAGTCAGAGAAATGTAAAATCAATATTTCACTTTTCCCAATAGTAACAAACTCTTGGATGCTTCTCCACCTGGCGGCGTAAATGACAATTAAAATCGCGCTATCTGTCGGACTACACGGAAACCAGACGTACTGCTTTTAAGGGAGAGCCCGAAAAAAAAATGATTAAGTCTCAAAGACACAAAATGGCCGTGTACCCTGATCTCGATTCTTCCTTCTTTCATCTTTGTGAGTCAATCTTTTTTTTTCTTCTTTTTATTTTCACGATCGCCTCGCGATTTCACCGTAGAAAGTAATTACAGTACGTCACACTTTGCATATAGAATTGCTGTAACGTCAGTTATCTTAGGTAGGCATCCCCTGGAGTTGCCGGTGGGGCCCTTTCGCGCTACTCGTTTCGTGTGCTGTTACAATGTTGAGCGAATCACGGGGCATGAAACTCCTAAGTAATACCACAACGTTTTTCTATATATGTATTTATGTATGTACGTATACAGAAGGTGGCTGGTATTACACGTGCGCATCGAGAGCCTTCCCTTCCTGCAAATTATTCCAAGCTGGAATTTCTTTTTTTTTTTCCAGGACCCATTCCAAGTACGAGGTGTCGCTCCGAGCGCCACCAAGGCGTTCAGCCTCGATTGCAATCGGTAGCCGCATTATGCGAAATGCCGCCGCCATCGCCATAGCCGTCGCAGCTATTACCAACCGAGTATCAACATCAGCAAGGAGCGTTAACATCGTCGCCCTCGTCGACGTGAACGTCAACGTCGACGCCGTTGCTCAAAGCATCGAACATATCGTCGATCGGCTCTTTCTAGCTTCTCCGCGGATTTATCTGCTTCGGCGGCAGCGTCGGTGCATTCACCTTTGCCCGTTCAAAGAGACGCTCGGAAACTTTCACGTGGTGCGAGAGACAGTAGTACTGATATATATATATATATTTTTTATAGTTCACAAAAACTGCCGCCAGAGGGTCGAATCTTTGCATCGGCAATTAAGCATATCTTCTAACGTAACATTCCTAGGTTTTTCTATCTCGCCTTCACCATACACTCAGTTCGCTTCTTACCACGGATCTACAACAATTCACGCCCCCGTGAACAATGCGCCGCCAGTTAGTCTTGTCCCCGTTCTCAAGGATCCCCCCCTTGTCGCCTAACAATACTCTCTTATAGTTTGGTCGTCTCTGACTGCGTCTTACTGCGTCCTGTAGCGTCCCATCAGAATGGCTTAGACTCGAGATTTACTTAGCGCACGTGTGCGCCGACATGCAGTGAGGAACTCTTGTCCTCCATATCCCGTATCTCACGTAACAAGACAACAGAATCTCTTTATAAGGTCCGAACGCGAAGTTTATATGCGAAAGCGCGCGATAATATAAAGTTGACGTGCACATAGGACTGCACTGGGTGCTTAAGAGAGAATATCTTTGGCCTTCTTCTTAAGGCTGGATATACGAATGTCCACGTGCATCTAGTATGCACGGTGCATGCAGCACGTTTCTCACGGACTTTCGTACTCGTAAAATGAAAGGTATAAAAAAATTCATAAAGTAATTCACCAGCTTGGAATCCGTTAAGGACATAATCTTCGTCATTGTACATAAACGTTTTATTGCGTCTTTTTAAAATACTTATGTAATTAGAGCTTGTCATTTTTAAGCACGACTACGGTAGTCTGTTATAATTCCTTGGATTGCTGCGACTCCAAGTTCATCTTGGCTAAGATCGCCTATCGTCCTGAGTTGCTTAGGGACTTCGTAGCGTAATTAATTAATGATTACATAAGAGGAACGAGGTCGACGACATACCACGAAGTCTCTACTGCAGTGGACACGTACGTGAATACGTAGTACGTGTGGACGGCGTTATCCAGTTTGGTCCAGTGTCCAGACTCCGTGGAAGGGTTGGATGAGATGGTGACGAGGGGGTTGGGCCTGGAACGGGGGAGACCCATGCAACATTGATTTTAAGCTAGCGTGACGTTGGATCTGATATGCAACACTGCAAAGGCTTATCCCAGATGCATAATGCATGGAGACGGACCAATAATCGTGCGCCATCTTTAATATGAGTATATTTGAGGATACAAATTATTATTAGCTCCTGACGCATTTCGGGTGTGCGAAATTTTCTCTTTTTCTTTCTCTTAGACACAACGTCGATTACGAAGTAAGGCGTTCCAGTGGCCTGGATAGAGTTTTCAATAAGTCCCATTGGAATCGCCCAATGAGAATGAAGCTGTTATTGGGAGTTTAAATAATTCATTGTTACTCGCGCTTTTGCTAAAAGGTCAATTGACATCCGGTAGAGGTCGACACGGTCTCGACCTCTTTATAGACGGTTTATGACGTCAGTTCCTGGCAAGCTGGAGGTGGAACGAGAGATTGACGGGTCGAAGGAGATTTTTAAGCGTAATTATAATCAGAGATTGTGCCTTTACGGCGGCCTGATAATGGGTCAAGCTACACGATTTTGCCCCGTTCGTAATTCATAATCCCCGTTCGAAGGCGATTACGAGTAGCGATGTTGGTAACCAGGCGTCGCGACGTTACCCCGGAGGGACCTCAAGTCCGAAGTAAGCCCTGTTGACAATGTGTATCTCTTTCGTTCTTTTTTTTCTTCGTTTTCCGTCTGGCCTGGTCCCGCTCTCGGAAATCTTGGGGCCTCAGGGCCCAAGGGAACCGTACGTACCGAGAATTCAATGTCGCGATGTCATAACCCAACTTCTTGGTCTCCCACTTTGCTTCCACTTTTTAATTTCAAATTTATTTCATCGACCAATCTCTATTTCTACTACCTCATTTTATACTCAACCTTTCTCTTCCACCTTCACCCATTCTATGGCACGTTCGAAAAAATTCTGCCGAAGCTCATCCAAGATCGCTCCGAAGGCTTAGACCCATTTTGAAAAGCAGCCTTGCAAGTACCCCAGGATACATCTTGCACGCCTTTTGCGATCTGATCCATGAATTTTCAATCTGTTACAGAGTCCGCCGAGTCATTACACGACTGGTACCGTAAATCGCAGATGTTTTGTAAGCGGCGCGGCGCTACCATAAGGCGGCTTCCACTCTACGCTCCTCTATCCAGTCTCCCTGTTCGCTTTCGAAGCAAAAGGTGCTCGTTGCTCCTTTTGCTACGTCTGCCGGCAGTCTAGACCGAGGCTTGGGTTCCCGTCCGGACCTTCCCCCGGGAGTTAAGAGGGGGACCAGGAGGGAGGGACGTCACCTCCTTGCGGCCAGTGAGCGAATCAGCGAATGAGCGAACACACTGCGCCTCTCTCGCTGCTCATTGCTCACCTTTTGGTCCTGAGGCTACCAGTTCCCTCTTCTCCGCGTTATCATTCACAACAGCAGCTATACGATAAACCCAAGGAGAACGTGAACGATCTAGAACGATGATAACGATTGTAAATCAACTTGGTCGTCACAAGTGTTTAGACGGCCACTGTACCCAGTATCAATCCTGAGATGAAAACATGGCTCAAAGTACCAACGATAATTGCTATTATGGATTCAAAGAGTAATGGCTACCTTTTTTGATTCTCTACTTTTTTTTAGACTTCAAAGCAGCCTGGGACAGAGAGTTTTGAAAAATTGGTAAAAGACAATAAGTTTTTAATGACTTTTTTTTTTTAATCCTGATCTTTTTTTGCTTTCTTCTTTTTTCCCATCTATAATATGATTCCTGGAGAACGTCAGCGTGCCGTATAAAGTGCCTTGCACTCTGGGATCATCCATTAGGCCTGAGTAAGGTATACCCACTGGATCGTTTTGTTCCTTGAAATAAAAGGATGGCAGAAGGAAAAGAAAATTAAAAGAAGAGTCCTCGAAGATGAGCTGGTCCACCTTCGTTGGATGCACTTCCTCGCGTTAACACTATCCTACGTTATAGCGTCCCGACGCTTAACGACGGAAAATACCCGAGCGCCGTGAACAGCCTATGTGTACATACTTATAGATATATGCTTAACGCTATTCACGCCAAGAAAGCGATCGGCTGTTAATTATACATAATAGCAAAGTGCCAAAACGTGTTGGAAGATAACGGTGTCCGGCTCCCGCGATGCATAACGGCACTAAGAACTAATAATAATAGGAAGAATAATGATGGTGTCAAGAGAGAGGATGACTGGGAGCAATGAATAACAAAGGAGAGAAATCCGCGATGAAAGCATTCAGGGTGACAGAAAAGCAGGGAATGAAAAAAGAAGAATAATATTCTAAGCTTAAAAATTCTCGTGTCTTAACCAGTGATTAAGTAGGTGGAACAGATGGGAGTACGAAGGAACGGTGGGAAATCTTTAAAGAGATATTGAGAGTGTGGCCAGAGGGTATTAAGAATTATCAGGAGCGAAGAGAGACGCCGAGTATCCTGTGGCAATGGCGATGCAGCATCCCAGCTGCATCCGCGATGCACCTGCCTCCCTTCTTTCTGCAACCGACGCCGACGCCGCCTCGCGAGAGACTTTCCAAGAAACCCAACCACTCTCGCCCCGTTTTTCATCAATTGTTCTTGCTGGCACATTCATTCGCTCTCTCGCTCGCTCTCTTACTCTCTCCTTTCATTTGTCTATACGGTTCGCCGCCGTTGATCCCACCCGCCCCCCTTCTTCTTCTTCGGCAACCTCACCCACTGTATCTTCAAGCATCGACACCCTCCGACTATCATCTTCTGGCGTTTCTCATCATTTCCAGTGTCCATCTGCAGCATCCTTGACCTGGACCATAATTCGCACGGCCATTCAGATGTCAATTGAGCGAGGATACGACGAAGATGCCCGAGGAGTACCGATGAGAGATCAGCGTGGCTCCGGCCCTCGGTGAAGGAATCTTCGGCTGGTTCTAGGTGAATTGAATGTTAGATTGATTGTAATGACGTTTCTTATTTCAATTGATTAAGACTTTTTCTTTTACTTTTTTGACATAACCTGTTTAATTATTTTATATGATGCCTGAGCTGTATTCAGGGGACGGTGGAAAGTAGATATCATGACAGCACTGCGAGAGGCAGACGTATAAACTGGTCCAGGGGGATATTGGAGAAACCAGAGAAATGGACCCTCTCGGCTTGGGGATCCTGAATGGTAATGATTATAGCAAATTGCTCTTGGTTGGGGAGGACTTGGCGGGGTGGCTAATAGCCACTCAGTGAGGCTGTTGAAACCGCGCAACCCTTCACTCTTAACCTTTGATCCCCTCCCCGCGCAAGTCAACCCTTCAAAACTTCATTGTTTCACCCTGTTTTCAGATCGTGCCATACTTCCTTGAGTGTAGAACATATCCGAGTTCACGATGCTTCTTCTTGGACTGAATACGAGGACGAGCTGATGCGAAGATAGTGAGTATATTATTTAAAAAATTGTATCGTTTAAAAATAATTGTGTTACTTCGTATAATTAATATTCAAAGGAATTATCTCTTTGTATTTATTCTAATGAATTTTCAATCTATAATTTATCAATGACTTTGCCTGTTCATACCGTTACAGTTGGGCCTTGTGCTGAACGCAAGACTTCCTGGCACTGTACTGCATTAGTGCACCTGGGCGTATGCTCTACGAAGATGCTGTTCTTACTGAGTGACGTGCACCAGGAACATCCTCTTCCGGGCTTCGAGATCACAGATAAATGTCTTTTCCATGTTGCCTGGAAAGCCACTGAAACAGTAGGGCCCCAGGCGGTGCTCATTGTGCCCAGGGACTTGGGGCCCCATCTATCCACGTCCTAGTGGTTACTTCTGCATCCTGACAGCCTACTCTAACGATGTGCATACACTGGAAGATGTCTTCGGTTCGACTGCCATTCCTTACCCTCCATATTTGACTGCGCCTTCTGTCAAGGATCTGCGACTCGTGCATGGAAGAATTTGAAGAAAAATGATATAATTTACAAAATCTTAAAAGCCATTGCAATCAATATAAATTGATTCTAGGTAAACAAGCAAGTTGTAGTTAAAACTTATCTGGACATAAGATACCGAAGGCCAACTAGGTGGTATAGCTTTTCACATGGGTCTTCGAAGAGTCATCTTCTATTTTTCTTTAACAATTTGCATAAATATCTACCACATGGTTATTACTTGCCATGAAAGATTAATTAAGCGCGAGTCTGAACAGCCTGTTAATGTAATTTCAAATTTTTACGTCTACCCTCAGGGAGAGTCAATGCCAGCCCCCCTGCTCACTATACCCTCTATGCATGTAGTACAATTATTACAGCGTGTATTACATATGCATTAACAGCATGAAAATTTACATGTAATCTTTTAAACGTTTAATCCTTAAGGATCATATCCTGATTAAGGATTACCTTTACCAGTAATCTAACTCCGTCCAAGAACGTACGCACCCAAGTTGTCTTTGGCCAGAAAAATTTGTTAATTACAGAAATTCATTTGCTTTCCTTACGACTTGAATTTTTTCATTAAAACTTTCTGTTGCAGTCTTACGAATTGCGCCAGTGACTTGAAAACTAAAAAGCACTCGGCCGCTCCTGCTCCCAAGTTACAATGGTCCTCACCGTCCAGCGGTCAGAAGGTTTTCAACTCCCTAATGGTCAATTTCCCACTCAGACGAGAATCATTAGTCTATGCACCCTGGGGTGTATTTTCGCCAAGGGTTATACCACGAGAAGTACACTCGATAAGTACTGGAAAAAGAATACTGAAAGCAAACTAGCCATTGGATGTACGCATGTGCACTATTACAAACCAAACAAATTTTCTTGCGATACAAATTAAATTATATATTACTTTTCGTCTTTTTAAAGTTACTCAGTTATTTTTCTTTTACAATAAATCTCAAATTCCCGCGCAACAGACAAGTCCACGAATCGAGCCCCTGGCGGAATTTTCTGTAACTACGCAAAGTGACAAGCCAAATAAAATTCATCGAGCCGTCTGCTTCGTGGAAAACCCTAAGTTGCAATAATAAACTTCGACAATCATTAACCCACCACTGTTCTCATTAATAAGAAAAGCAAATACGTATTTACAATAAATAAATCCTTAAACAGTGGATCACTATGTGACAAACTCACTCCCAGGCTCATCGTACCACCAACGATCCCACGACGTGTCGCACACTCACGAATAGAAGCAGTCTACAGAAAATCAGAAAAAGGTTGGTCCTCGGTAAACCCACTTACCGCGATCATTAAATATGGATCATGCACTTTTTCTCGGAAGTAGACAGGAAGTGGGCTACGCACCGTGCCATAGGGTAACATCCGTTACCTTTTCAGGATCATAGAACATTTCGATGATCACAATTCCGAGAAAGACACGTTTTTCCACAACGTAGCAAGCACGCCCATACGAGTCGGAAACGTTTGAATAAATTCTTGGAACTGATATCGATTCCACGACCCACGCACGATCTTCAAGCAGCTGCATTGTTAACTAAAAAAAAAAGAAAGGTAAACTTAATTCAAATACATTTAATTGTTACGTCACCTTGAAACCTAACCTACAACGCGATGCTGAGCAACGTTCATTCAATCTGTTCGTAAAATTAATCGCATATTTAAACACATATATGAATTCAGTAGTTGGATGGATGGATGATGCATATTTTACTACCCATATATATATATAATGTATTATATAACATATACGTCAGTTACCTACGTAACTGAATAACACGTACGCACATATAGTAACAGGAGGCCCGTCTAGACTGCCGTCAGACGTATTGGGTTCGCGTAACGCGCTATATAACGTATGTTACATATGGCTGTCATGTACGTCGGACTACGGTGCGTTTTAGCTGACATAACCGCCACTAATTACCGGGGCCGACGCGTCCGAGACGCTAGATCAGTTCAATGACTAGCGTACGTAACCTCTACGTGCGGTCATCCTCGTATATCATAAAACGTATATATAGGGTTTATTCAGGACAAACGAACCGGTTGAAGTTAGTTCTGCAATAGAAATCAACTGGACAGGCGGTTGACTTCAGGTGGTAGGTTTTGACGTGAATAAAAATATTGAGATAATAATAAGACAAATCGATATACACAAGTAATATAATAAATGTACTGAGATGAGTATAATACAGTATTGAGATGAAAATTTTTAAATATTAATCGTGTTTTGAAAATAAATGTCACGCGACGGTTATATACGGGCGTATGAGATTTGAATTTTTTAATTTGGCGCCACCTTCGCCTGGTAATACCCCCGTACCGCTGAAAACATTGAGAAACGTTACTGAAACGTAACAAGCATATTTAATGTTTCATTGCTGAAACGTAACGAGCATGTTTAGTATATGTTTCAGGGATGCATTTAAAACTTATCTGAATATTTTGCGCTGTACGCGTAATGATTGCTATAGGAATATGCATTCGTACAGGAAATGAAGAGGGGAAAAAAAAATATATTGAACCTAACCTGTAATTACGAGAGTAGTGCGTATGAACGGAAAAGGTATTACGTACGCTAATCACACGTATTTACTGCGATCTTCGTGAGGTTATGGTTTCCCATTATATCTTATTGCGTTTAACGTCAATGACCGAGTTGGCTGCTTCGCGATGAATAAAAGATGCAATTAAAATAGGCGAAGGAATTGAGGATTTAACATATTTGTTTCTTGCTTTTGAGTGAAAATTTATTTTTTTTCGAAAATTTGACTTTGTTTTTATTTTCCCATGACACTGTCGCGCATAACGTATATAGGGTTAGACATTTTCCATGGAATATATTCGATAGGGAATATGTATACGTGTTGTCCTAGGGAAATAAACAGGTTATGATTTATGAAGCTATACGTTGCACTTTGCTTTTCCATAAATTCCTGTCCGCGAGTGAAATAGTATATAAGGCATCGCGGTGTGCAACCGGTTCGCGCCATTATGTTTCCCCATGCAATTTATGGAAAATTAAGGCATGGAGAACTTTCCGTAAGTAAATCGAGCACGTCTTGTTCCTTGGCCGCCATGTTGTCTGCCAGAGAAGATTCTTCAAGTGAATATACATGTAGAGAGAGAAAGAGAGAGAGAGAGAGAGAGAGAGAGAGAGAAAGAGAGATACGCTGACGTATAATAAACACACGTATTCGTGGTAACATAATAGTCTGCTTTCTTTAAATTTCATGTGTTTATTATCTTCGTAAATCGATCGTTACGTGATTTCCAATTAATTCTCACGGTCAACGGCCAATTTTTTTTCGAACCAAACAAAATTTATAATTCCGTTAACAGCGCCATCCGCTAACACGTGTCCATTATCGTAAACACGAACTAACAAAACTGTCTGATGATTCATCGGATCTATTCGGAACACGATGGTAATTCGAATCCTCGTGCTGGCTAGACGAAAATGCAACCCCTAATTATCCATTCCTCCTATTCCCCATTGGGAATTCGAAAACCACTGGGCGTCGCGGCGACTCGTCCCGAGCGCGTTGGTCTAATGCAATAATAATGACTTCGTAGAAACGACTCGCGCGCCCTCGCATAATTTTGAAATATTACATTGTTGACAGTGCTGCTACTAATAAAATTTTAAAAGTCATCCCCATCTTATCTTTTGTTAATTCTTTGTCTCGCCATTAAATAACAACTCTCGTATTTTCCTTATTTCCCCGAAATAAATTCACATCGTCACGTAATGACAAACGATTATAAAAATTCTTCAAGTACGACCCAACGTCATGACGTCAGTCAATGACATTAAATTTCGCAAAAATTATCTCCAACAAATCCCCCCCCCCCCCCCCACAAATTT